TCTGAATGCACAAATTTCCGATGAAGGGACAAGGATAATGTTAAGATTATGGTAAATTTATGAAACGCAGCGGCGTTAAGAAGAATTTTAAAAATTGGGAGCTCAGTAGTTACGCACTTTTTAATGCATTCTGAGGGAGCGAGACGACCTTGCGATGCCCCGGCAAGGTTTAAAAGCATCGTCTGGTCCATAGTTATTTCCCCAGGGACTGATTGAACTAATATTTGTCCACATTCAAGCTTTAGGAGCGTAAATCCATTGCCGAAACAGCCTATCTTTTTAATAGCGCTGGTGACATCATCTTGTGAAACTTCCGAAGAGTGAGAGCTTTTCTGTTTGTTTAGTCTGGAGACCAAATCTTCTAATGGTATAATTCCACCCGTTCGTTTTTCCATGGCCATACAGACCTATAAGGAAAACGTAAATAATGAAGGTGGTATTGGATGTGGAGCCACCATATAACTTCTATTACTTGCCTCAATTATCCTGACTGCCAAATGATAATAAAATTCTCCCAAGCCTAAAATTTCTGACCACAATCCTCGACTATACGCTAATGGATCTACTCCTATTGTTGCACATAGCTCCTGAAATTGACGTCTAAACCCAGCATTGTTCTGTATTTTTGTCCGGTGTTTGGCTGCAAACCCTTCGAGAGCAGATTTGACGATATCAAATTGACGAGTAAGGTTAGCTAATTGGACTTGAACTAACTCTTCACCCTTAACCCTAAATCTATCTTGGAAGCCGTATCTGTCTTTGATAGCACCAACACCAACCCTGCGCATGATCTAACGGACGATTCGGGTTAATGCGTAGTATGAATGCCGAGCCATCATATGTTGAGATTACCTATTTTAGTTGTTAAAGTAATGGTATTTTTTAAAGAAAGTATTCATAATTTTTTATTAAAAAAAAACAAAATTGGAACGTGATAAGTTAATTTATTAATCTATCATAATTAGTTCTTATTCTGTTTGAATGTCAATCTGCTAATTAAAATGCACGTTTTTAAGTAATTTCATAATAGAATCTATATTTTTTCTGCACTCGT